TTTGAGGGGTGGGAGGATTAGTTTAGCTGACTTTCACTGATGAAGGTGGATGACTTTTATACAAGTCATTTAGAGTGGGTTGAATTACTTTCCAAAGGTACTTATCTTTCTCTATCAGCTATAAAGACATCTAAAGTGACTTGGATAATCCAGACTCCTACCTTTAAGGTCATTAAGATTTGCTTTAAATGAGTTTCACTTAAACACTGCTCTTATGTGGGCAATAACTGTTCCTGCTTATGTTTAGTAAGTTTCAAGCGTGATTTTAAGGCAAGTGCTGAATGAAATCAATAATGTAATACCTAATTTTTTATTTATTGTTATTATTATAAAATATAAATATATATTTGGACAAGTTTCAGTAGTGCAGAAAGTATTGAATTATGGGCAAATTTGCTGCAAATAAACAACATTTTGTTATTAATTGTGTATTTTTATTCATTGGTTAATATACAGGGATTTCACAGATGACCTATCATTTTTGTATACAAAAAAACCAAAGAAACTTTAACTGTTTGTAGTGGGTTAGCTTTGGCCAATATAAACATTTCCACCCAGTTTCTCCTTCCTTTCTTCTCCTCAGTATGGCAGAAGGAAAAAAAAAAGGATAGGAAAGGGCATATGTTGACTTTTACAATTGCCCTCATAGGTAAAACAGAATAGAAATGGGGAAAATAAATTTAATTTATTGTCTATTACAATATCTTTAGGTAGGAAGAGACAAAAGGAAATATATCAATCAGAGACACATTGTGGCAAGCACATTTCTCTCCCTCTCAAGATTTTTCATAGAGGTGCACAGAGAGAAATGAAAGAGAAAACTATTTCTATTTCTGCTCCTTGTTTTTCCTATGTGGAATGTGTTTGGAGAATTGTTTACCTGGGGTGATTGCTTCATTGGATTCTGGTGAGGATTGTTTGAGCCTGATGGCCAATCCAATCCACCTGTGTCTGGACTCTCGCGAGAGGGTCACGGGTTGTGTTAGAGTTAGAGTTAGAGAAAGTAGTATGCAGTTTTAGTATCCTCCTTTTATATAGCATATTAATGTATTTTAGCCTAGTTATAATAGAGAAATAATTCAGCCTTCTGAATTGAGTCAGACATTGTCATTTTTTCCTGTTGGTTTCGCCTGAGTTTACGATAACGCATTTCTCCTTTCCCCTTCCCATTCTTGACTTTTCTTCCAACATTTCCAACAGAGGCTACTCCTGCAGTCCCCACTGAAAACATCTTGACATCTCCACCTCATCTCATATTGGGTTTTTTCACTCCCTGTTTGTTTCCTTACTTCTATTCTTCTCAATCTAAAAAAAAAAAAAAAAGTTAAAGATCTTCTGGCAAATAGGAGTGGATGCTTCTATTTTAATATGCACAGTATATAGAAATGTAAATAAAATCTGAAAATAGCAGTAGAAAATCACTTCTCCCATTTTACAGTTTTGGTTCAGCACTGTGAATTTTATGAAGATTAATACTTGTTCCTAATACTGTCTCTGATGTGCATGTGCAGTTTCAGGAAATCCTTGAGCGCTTAGAAGAAAAGATATGCCTTCCTAAGAAGGAATAAAAAAGTAATAGAGATATTTCTGCATTTATATTCAAGCATGAGTGGTGTATGACAAGTTCACTAACAAAGACCCGTACTCTGAATATTATTCCCCAAATAAATGAGAAAGTATTTTTATACATGCATGGAAAGCAGCATCAGATTGAAACCATTCTCTCATTTTCTTGCTTTGTTCGCCTTAGTATTTGTGAGTTGCTGACTTTTCTTTCCATTAGCCTCATGCCTTTTGTTTATTTATTGCTCTGATATTATATATCATCAGAAGTCTTTATTATTCCCAGGATGCTGATGCAGTAAAGTGAGCTTGAAATAAAGGCTCTAACTTTGAATTCCAAAGTTTAGACTGATCTAGTAATATAGCTTTTATTTCTAAAGCTTAAAATTTTATTGTGTGTTTCGTAGGGATGTTGAGGCTACTTACTTTACAAAAAGTCAGGCCTGCTATTCAAATGTCATATATCATTTCCCATTATGGGTTTAAAGAAATAGAAATACAATAGTAATCAATACTGTCCTAATTTTGGAAATTTGAGAAATTTCAGCTGCAGTTATTACCAATAATATTTTCAAATGTAAAACCTCCAGTACACATATTTTTTCATTCTTTACTTCCAGAAATTTCTTAGTGATTTTAGTTATTTAATTGTGAATTCACAGAGCCTGAAGTGTGGAGGTAGAAAGCATGATGGATCTTCATGAGTGACTAAAATACACACTGAAAAAAAAACCCTCAGTTAAACACAGCAGTTTATATAGTATTTATTGTTCTCAATGTAAAGTTCTGTGAGAATAATATTTTCCTACATTTCTGGCTCAGCTTTGAAATTTGTCATGTTCCTGTGTAGACTGATGCCAGCATATAATTTCTCAGATTGCAAAAGGATGATGTTATAGGTATTTGCTACAGGCTGGAACTGTAAATTGACAAAGTCTTTAAAGTTCTCAGTAATGGCATTTAAAATCATGTAGCCTCGGTTCCAGGTCTGTGTTACTTCAGGATGCAGATTGTGTTTAGGTCTGAAAGGTATTTCAGGAATGACTTCTCAATGTGATTTTTTTTCATGAAAGGTCTATGAAATATAATAATATGCCTGGTTCCAATTTCACTTTTAACATATCAGCATTTGGTAATTTTTTTTTTAAATAGAGCTTTTCTTTTATCACTGTTTGACATGTGTAAGCTTTATAATGTTGCAATGTCACAATTCTAATGTATTTGACAGAATTTCAGAATTTTTTATGGGGAAAAAGGGTTTTTCCCTGCCTAAAATTACACAACAGCATAAGAGTGCATAGTTATGGAAATGGTTAATGCTTTATCAGAATAATGCTGAAACCAAATAAAATATGTGAGGAAATGGAGGTAAGTTATAAGGAAATTGCAAAGAGGGTACATAGTAAACATATCATACAGACAAATGTTTATTAAAATATGCTCTTAAAATATGTTATTCAGTCATGAAAAAATTTGACTTAATTGTTAAACTGATATGATGTAGTTTTTCAGTTTCTAACTAAATGTTGATATATTGTTTCTAAATCAAAATTAGTGATGGAAAATAAAGTCCTTTTTTATCTGTAAAAATGAACTTTTTTAATATTCCAAACCTAAAATGAAAATATTTTGCACATGCAATATTTCTGGATTTTTGGATCAGGATTTTAGATAATGCTCATCATTATATACCACATTTATTTAGCTTGACTTAAAATTTCATTTGAAACTAAACTGCTAGTAGAGGTAATCAAAATGAAGCTTGAGTAAGCTGTTCAGGATTGGGATGATCACAGTTTACTGCCAGTGGTTTTAAATTGTGCAAGCAGTAGAATGATAAAATATAATTTGTGCCAGAGAAGGAATGTGTGCTGCTTCCTTTTACCTGTCTCCAAGATAAGCCTTCACATGCAAGGAAAAAGGCACAACTCCCTGAGGACTGCAGTGAGTTATAAGTAGCAAGACTGAAAGAGGAAAACAATCTGTTTGAAATACAAAAGTTTAAAGACCTTATTATGTCACCTTTCAAGGTGGGAAAATAATTTGCACATGAAAATAAGGACATATCTGAAATGAAGTTATTTTAAGTGTGATAAAACTCAAGTGAACAAGTAGGAAAAAAAACAGCAAGGAGAAACAGAAATATTTTTTTTTATTAGATTATATAGAGTGATCGGTTATATCTGTATTTTACATGCAAATCATCTTGAGACCCCAAGTTTATCTCCCTGAACAGATTCACTTCGCATTCTCACAGCTTAGCTTTAGGCATTCAAGCACATGACCTGGAGTATTTTATAGTTCTCTTAGTTAAACAGGCTTCCCAGGTTAGCATACCATTGAACATACCAGATGGACTGTCCCCAGGCTGCCTATGAGTAGTGCACTGATGAGAGGCAGTCGTTGATATAGGATGTGATTACAAGGCAAGTGGAAATACCTGAAATTCCTACTGCTGTTGGTTTGAAAAATACTATTCAACTGAGTACAATTGTGCACCTGCTCCTGAGGTTGCCATAACAGGACACAAAATAATTTTATTTTGACTTTGAGCTTAACAGAAATGGGGCTAAGAGAATATTTGTTACTTTAGAAAAAATGGAAATTGGATTTAAATTTGTACACAATTTATCCACAGTATAACAGCATATAATAGGGATGCAGTGCATCATTGCATAACAGCTAGATGATAATTAATTTAGAATTGTGAAATGCAAAACTCACATAACCTGGATGTCATCAGCTGATGCCTTACTTGCCTTATCTCTTTGTTTTCCAAAGAATATACACTGATTTCTGAAAACACTTTCAGACATATAGTGTTGATGTTGTTTATGCCCTTTGTCAATTTATGATATTCCCTTACTGTTTGCTATAATTGCTGCAATTTTATTTGACAGTAGTGATGTGTTTCTCATGGAGCACACAGACGGTCCAGGAAGATGTACCATAGGTCAAATCCCCAGTGCTCTTATTTAGCTCTAATTTTGGATGTAATCCAAGAAAAATTTGTCTCAGTCAAGATTTACTAAAATACTGATCACTAGGTTTTAGTTTGTAGTAGTCAGTTCTTCAACAGCTTCTTACCTTAAACTCACCTGATGATATTTTCATAAGAACACTGAAAAAATGGCAATATTTCAAAACTAGCTATAGATGGATTCATTTTACTTCTTCTTTAAAAAAATATTTATGGAATAATCACCTATTTTCAGCATAAAAATCCCATTAAAAATCTCTCATGAATAGACAGCTTAGTCCAGCTTCACTAATGAAAATAGAAAGTATTTTCTGTACTGTTTATCTGTCTTATCTACCCTAGCTAACCAAGGGTTTACCCACACCATATGTTTGATGTCCTGCTCAGAAAGAAAATCTGGGGGAAGTGGGAACATCTGGAGTTATGGTCTTTTTTAGCAGAAATTGCCACTATTCATGAAGGAGTCTTGATTTATTGAAAATGGATGAACACCTGTCTACTGATGGGGAGTAATTAATTAATTTATTTTTTAAATTTTTTTGCATGTACACTGTTTGCTTTACTTATCATATTGTCTTTATCTTAACTCACAAGTTTTTCCACTTTTCCCCCTCCAATTCTCTCTTCCATCCTGTTTTGGGACAGTGACTGGGTAACTGTGAGGGTCTTAACTGCCTACTGAGATTAAACCTCAACAACTAAAAAAGGGTTTTGTTCAGTTGCATAAAAATAGTTTAGCACTGGCAGGGTTTAATGTGGTCAAGGTCAATATTTGAGATTCTCTGTAGTAATAAGATGGATATATTGATTATTGCCGTAAGGATATACACTTGCTTTAGCTGAAATGTCATTGCCCTCTGCAAGATGCCTGCCTTTGAGCAACTTGTCAAAATGCATGACATGAAAATATTATTTATATATTCAAATAGAAATAGAGACTTATTTTAGTCTATAATATGCTCAAAGAGTTCTGTTGAAATAAGAACTTTGAAAAATGCGCAATGACCAAAAGTAAGCCACTCAGACTGTTACAGCTCTTGTTGTAAATGGAGGAGTTTACACAACTATCTCTTGGCACTACAAACTTGCCAGAGGCAAATTTGGATTCAGCAGTTATTATAGTTAATGTCTGAAAGGGGAGCTAAGACAATTGACAAGTAACCAATTCTTGCCTGGAAATGTGTGAATGTAATGTTTAAAAGTAGTATGAAAAAGCAAATAACTGGAGATTAGGACCTGAAAATAACATGAGAAAGGAACGAGAACATAAGATGAAGGAGATATTGAAATAATTCAAAATAATATTTCATTGCAAAGCCCATGTAGCTCTCAGACCAAAACACCAAGGAAATTAAGCTGTCATGGTAAATCAGAGTAATGTATGTATTAAGGATGTTTGTGAGAGAGAAAAAGATGGTGACTGAAATGTGTGACAGTAAATTGGGATTCTCCAAAAGGCCTGTAGAATCAGGTGCCAAAATTTTGAGTCCTCTGCAGAATGACTACACCAGAGAAGGAAAACTTACCCCCCATGAAGAGCCCCATATGTTCTGTTGTTATTCATAAGTTGGTTTTTGCTGTTTGTTTTCTCAGAAAATTAGTGACTTTCTACAAAAAGGTTACAGCATCGGTGGATGAAGAGGGACACCATATACATGGACTTGTGCAAATCATTATACACTGTCCCATGCAACATGGTTGTCTCTAAAATTGAGACACAGGACTTTACAGGTCAACCATTTCATGTACTGTGAATCTTCTGGACGGTGATATGCAAAGATTTGCAGTCAATAGCCTGATATCTGGCTGAAGAATAGTGACAAGCAGCATCCCTTGGGGTTTGGCATTTGGACTAATATTATTTAGTGTCTTTGTCAGGGATGTGAACAGTGAGATTGGGTGTACCCTCAGCAAGTTTGTGGATGACACCAAGCTTGGTGCTGCAATCAATGAACTTGAGTGAAGGTATGCTATCCATGGAGATCTTGAAGCTTGAGAAGTGGGCCCATGAGAACCTCATGAGGTTCAACAGGGCCAAGTGCAGTTCCTGAGTAAAGGCAATCAAAAACAGGTTATGTGATGAGTGGATTGAAAGCAGCCCTGCAAAGAAGCACTTGGGAGTATTGGTAGATAAGGAGCTCAAGATGTCCTGGCGAAGTGTTCTTGCAGCCCAGAAAGCTCACTGCATAGTGGGCTGCACCAAAAGCAGTGTGGCTGACAGGTCGAGGGCAATGATTCTCTCCCTGTATACTCTGTTACTGTGAGAGTCCTGGAGTTCTGTGCCCAATTCTGTGGTCTCCAACACAAGAAAGACATGGACCTACTTGAGCAGGTCCAGAAGAGGGCCATGAAGATAGAGGACCTCTGCTATGAAGACAGGTTGATCAGCCTGAGAAGACCTTCAAGCAACTTTCAGGTACCTAAATGGAGTTGATAGAAAAGATGGGGAAGAGCTCCTTATCAGGGAGTGTAGTAGCAGGATGAGGGGTTAAGGTTTTAAAATGAAAGATTTAGATTAAAAATCAGATATAAGGAATAAATTCTTTACTGTGAGGGAGGTAAGACAGTGGAATATGTTACCCAGAAAAGTTGTGGATTTCCCATCCAGGGAAGTGTTTAAAGCCAGTTTGAACAGGGCCCTGATCAACCTGATCTCATAAAAGGCATCCCTGCCCATGGCAGGCAGTTAGGACTCATCTATCTTCCTAGAATAAGCACGCCCACAGTAAGTGATGAACCATCGCAGCTCCTATGCGACAGAAAAAGATGTTGGAGAATTGATAGCCAGCGCCATGGCTGTCATGGACAGGGTCACTATAAGCAAAAGTATTTTTTAAGTAAAAAGAGCATAACGATGCAAGTATGCTGTTTCTTCAGAGCCATCTAATGTGTAATTTAAGATAGGCTTGAGTGTCTAAGAACTTAAAGGTAATAGAGTAAAAACCTTTTTCATTTTCACTCCATGAGTCAAAAGCTGGATTTTGCTGCTATCTTCATCATCTTCCCCTTATATTAAGTGACAAGACAGACTCAGCAATAAGGATATTTTTCAGAAAAAAACAGAAGCTTGCATCATGAATTCTGGTTCAGATTTCTTGTCATGCACAGGAAGGAAAAACAGTAAGTTATGAAACAAATATATTATGAATCAAGGACAGCTGCTATGCATATGACTATCACAGTTGCTAAAACCTTCTGTAGGTGCAGAGTGACAAAGCTCAACACTGACATAGTAAGGCAGAGACAGTATTAATGAAAAAACAGCACTGTCTTACTTGAAAATCTTTAAAAGGGTTGCAAAAATATGCCTACAGCTCAAGTGCATAGTGCAAAGCCTTGTGAAAGTGTTGTAGAAGCCTTCTACTTTGCACCAGTGTTCCAGGCTATGAAATGGATCATCTAAGATAAAAATTATGGGATTTTTACTTGGGTCTTTTTATTTTTTCAGTCTGCACTGTACAATTTGCTCTCTATACAAGAAAAACTAAGCAGATGGTGGCAGAAGTATGTTAGATCACCACAGATCCATTTTTTTGGGGGCTTAAGAAACTACTATTACCATGTGTAATCTTCCTCCCCTTGTGGTAAGTTTGGCTTAAATTCCAGTTGTTGTGGCTCTGTGGTTCCATGCAAGTATTAAAAATTTAATCAGTAAAGATGATGAATTCCATTGTTTTTCAACATTTCTGCAAAGCCAAATTATCATCATCATTTTATGATCATGTCCTATTGCCAGTCATGTTTACTAGATAATTTTAATATTTCAAACTACAGTATAGCACACACAAAACTCAGACCTTCGAACATACTATCCAAGTCTTAATTCTATTGTCTCACTGGAATTTTTTTTGATTGGTAACAGGTTATTAATAACACATAGACCCAGAAGTGTGGTGCTGAACTGTGGCTTCTTTTCTGGGCTACTTCTTAAGATTATATACATGCTTTGGATCATATACTGAGCACAGGGTCTACCTATATTTGTAACTAGTGAAAGACCCAGGTTCTTATTGTCTGATCAGTTCTTCAACTTTTCTCTTGTTTTCTGAATCTGTGTCATGAGACAGAGCTAGAGGTGAGTTCTCAGGACACAACAAGGGAAAGAGATAAATTGCCAGTGTTACAAAGAGGGAATGGTCAATAGATATACATTACCAGCAGAGGAATCTTTTCCAGGTCTGTTCTCCATACTTCTGTTCAAAAATTGTAAGCATTTTGGGGCTTTCTAGGTTTAATTACAATTACATCTGTCAGGAGTTACCACAATTAATAAACCTTAATTAAAAGACAAATATACTTTAGAAGTGTGTAATCCACCTTACAAAAAATGGATATCTCCAATTAAATGCATAGAACTGTGCTGGATACCTTAGACACCACTCGTCCCCCTTTTTTAAACAACTGGATATTCATGAAGCTTTAGTATATTTTCTATGAAAATTTGTAATTTTTTTTTTTTTTTTTACTTTTAAAAGCCTACCAGTAAGCATAACTGCCTAAAACCACATAAAACCAGAACATTTATGATGGGAAGCATTTATACTTGAAAATATTTCTGTATTGGTATATGGTCACACTTTTCTGCATGTTTTCTGATGGTGGTAAACTTACTTTTTCATTTGGCAGTGGTATTTTCCTCTCACATGAGTAATGCAATTGTGAAAGTTATGAGCCATTCATTTTGGCTCAATACCAAGACTTGAGTCTTTGTGCTGTATGTCTGACAGCTTTTAATAGAAGTTGGACTTAATTCAATTTTATAGACTAAAAAAAAATTGAAAGTTTTTTTTTGCTAGAGTTAGCAATCACAAAAGCACTGTGTGAGCATTATGGTCAACATTATTGGCCAGTGACTTAATTTTAGCCATACATCCAAGAGCCAGCAGCAATTCCAGTTTTGTTATTTGGCCCAGACTCTATTCTGGAGATGAAAATAAAAAGCTCATACAACCCAGTGATGCTGATCTGTCTCAAGGGTATTGAACACATGGTCTCTTTTAGGAAATTGTTAATAGGAAGACTCTGTATCAACAAATCAAATAAATTTCAGGTTATATAGTTCCACCAATAACACTTCTTTCATTGTCAACTCCAAATTTTAATCTGAAAATTAACCATGTTGGCTCATTTATTTTTGTGGCAGCTCACTCTTTGACAGGTGGTTTGTAAGAAATAAATGTGATGCAAGATCCAGAGAGTGAAGCTATTTCTGCATATGATACAGCAAACTAACAGAATGTTGATATTGTTTCAAGATTCTGTACAACTTTTAAGCATTGCACTGTATTAAGGTGATAGAGAGGTAAGGAGTGCATGGAAAATAATGACAGAATTATGAAAAATGCTCAGAAATAAATGTTTATTTAAAATAAATATGTAGATTATATATGTTTTCAAAATAGATTTCTAGAAACTGCAGCTTTGTCTTTCAGTCTTCATGTCAAATAGAAAATTATTCATTCAAATACAAAGACTAATTCATCATTTTCCTCTCCTTTCTTCTCTAATTTGTATCAACTAATTCAGTCTTTTGACTTTCCAAACTTGATTAAGAAATAAGGACCAGATATTTAAAGGCGTATGAATGGGAGCTGAACTATCACAATATATTTTATAATATGGACTGAGAGCAATATAGAAAAAAAAGATGATTCTGGCAGAGTAATGATCACAAGATTAACTCCTTAGCTGAAAATGACATTCAACAACAAAGTCATTCTCTTTTACTTAGTAAAAAATTGTCATTCCCACATGATATCCTTATCTCCAAGTTGGAGAAGCATGAGTTTGAAGGGTAGACTACTGGGTGGATAAGGAATTTAGTAGAGGGGAACAAGCAGAGAGTTGTTTCGGTGGTGAATGATGTCCTTAAGGGCTCTGTATTGGGACCAGGTCTGTCTAGTATCTTTATTAATGACTTGAACAGCACAGCAAGATTGAGTGCACCCCCATCAAATTTGCAGATGACACCAAGCAGAGGGGTGCACTTGTCACACCTGAAGGACAAGATGCCATCCAGTGAGACCTAGATAAGGTCTTGAATTGAGCCAATGGAAATCTCATGAGGTTCAACAAGTCCAAGTGGAAGGTGCTGCACCTGCATCAGGGCAATCCCAGACATGAGCAGAGACGGGGATAAGAACTCATTGTGAGGAGCCCTGCACAGAAGGACTTGGAGTTCTAATGAATAGAAGCTGGACATGAGCCAACAGTGTGCACTTGCAACTCAGAAAGCCAACAGGATCCTGGGCTGCATCAAAAGAAATGTGAGCAACAGGTGGAGGGAGGTGATAAAACAAGGGGTAATGACTTTAAACTAGAAGAGAGTAGGTTTAGTTCAGGTATTACAATGAAATTCTTTGTAATGAGGCTGGTGACAGTCTGGAACAGGGCTGTCCAGAGACGTTGCAGATGCCCCTTTTGCAGAAATGCTTACTTAAAGGCCAGGTTAAATGGGGCTTTAAGCAGCCTGGTCTAGTGAAATGGTCCCCTTCCTACTGGAGGGTTGGAACTGGATGATTTTTAAGGTCCCTTCCAGCCTGAGCTGTTTTATGATCCTACGATTCTGTGATTAGTCTCTTCTTGGTCGTTATCCTTTTTTCTTTTCCATTTTCCTAATTTTCTATTTTCCTTTCTACTTTCTCCTGTTAAGTTGTACTACAGGATGGATTAAAAAGAAACTCAAATTATAACTTCGCAGCTTGTGACTGAGGAGTTGTATGGCACAAAGGACAAGAAGTCTCAACTATAGAAAGCGTTAAACTGTCAGACAGCAGGAATGCCAGAAAAATAGGCCTCCCTGAAAAGAAGGGTAATTTCCCTTGGCGATGGGGTAAGTAACACCCCAAAATTTATCTTGTAGCCAAGTGGAATGGGATGCCTCAGAGGCCACCTTTGGGCAGAAGAGCTGGTGCTGAGGTATGGACTTCTAATGGAACACTCACTGGATCAGTGCTGGTGTAACTTTATAAGGAATTGGCTCTTGGCACATCTTTGCAGACTCCTTGAAGAACTGCTTATGGCAGTAGGACTGCATGCAATACACTGGGGGCATTTTGTTTATTTTTTTAAATATACATTTAACCACAAACCCATGCTTAATTTACCCCAAGAGGTACAATAAAATTCCTCTGATATGTATCTTTATTTTCTCCATCTCCCTGATTCTTCCTCTTTCCTCTCTGTTAATCTGTTAAGCTGTTATTCTGAACCAGGATGCTAGAAGTAAATAATAGCTCTCCCTTCAATTTTTATCAAAGCCTGTTTTTGTCCCAAAGTTAGTTCTGTCTTTGAAAAGGTCTAATATTAATCACAGTCATAATAAAAAGTGTTTTCCATAGTGATGTTTGATTTCAGACATAAAAATTTACTTATTTGTATTGTGCTTCAAAACCATTTAAGTATGATATATTATTAGTTAACTCACTTTGTGGATTTTTTTTTCTTAATTTAGGATTATTTGATTAAAAATATGATGAAATTATAAAAGGATTGCATTAGGAACAATAAAGAATTTGTTATGGATTATGCTACAGAAATACAAAAATCTCCTAAAAACACACTGAAATGTGTTTACTGTGTTGTATTTTCTCCCTCTTTTCTTTCTTGTAGTTGTAATTCTAGAGAATTTTAATATAATTGAATCTGAATACTCTGGTCCTCAGATTTTAATGATTTGCTCTACATTATTTAGATATCTACCTATTCTTTTTAGTACTTTTCATATGATGTAAAAAAAACCAAAAAAACCCCCAAAAACCCCCAAAACATTTTGTATGCAGTTACATTTTTCCTGGAGTTGACCAGTGAAATACTGATCCATTTTCCTCAGAAAGGCAGCTGTTATAGAATGATGTGTTAAGAATGTTATGGGCTAACTGCTTGTCTCCTTTTCTTTCCTTTTCTTTCCTTTTCTTTCCTTTTCTTTCCTTTTCTTTTCTTTCCTTTTCTTTCCTTTTCTTTTCTTTTCTTTTCTTTTCTTTTCTTTTCTTTTCTTTTCTTTTCTTTTCTTTTCTTTTCTTTCCTTTCCTTTCCTTTCCTTTCCTTTCCTTTCCTTTCCTTTCCTTTCCTTTCCTTTCCTTTCCTTTCCTTTCCTTTCCTTTCCCTTCCCTTCCTTTCCTTTCCTTTCCTTTCCTTTCCTTTCCTTTCCTTTCCTTTCCTTTCCTTTCCTTTCCTTTCCTTTCCTTTCCTTTCCTTTCCTTTCCTTTCCTTTCCTTTCCTTTCCTTTCCTTTCCTTTCCTTTCCTTTCCTTTCCTTTCCTTTCCTTTCCTTTCCTTTCCTTTCCTTTCCTTTCCTTTCCTTTCCCTTTCCTTTCTTTTCCTTTCCTTTCCTTTCCTTTCCTTTTCTTTCTTTTTCTTTTCTTTTCTGTTTCTTTTTTTTTTCTCTTTTCTTTTTTTTTCTTTTTTTTTTCTTTTTCTTTCTTTTCTTTTCTTTTCTTTTTTTTTCTTTTCTTTTCTTTTCTTTTCTTTTCTTTTCTTTTCTTTTCTTTTCTTTTCTTTTCTTTTCTTTTCTTTTCTTTTCTTTTCTTTTCTTTTCTTTTCTTTTCTTTTCTTTTCTTTTCTTTTCTTTCTTTTCTTTTCTTTTCTTTTCTTTTCTTTCTTTTCTTTTCTTTTCTTCTCTTTTCTTTTCTTTTCTTTCTTCTCTTTTCTTTTCTTCTCTTTTCTTCTCTTCTTTTCTTTTCTTTTCTTTCTTTTCTTTTCTTTTCTTTTCTTTTCTTTTCTTTTCTTTTCTTTTCTTTCTTTTCTTTTCTTTTCTTTCTTTTCTTTTCTTTTCTTTTCTTTTCTTTTCTTTTCTTTTCTTTTCTTTTCTTTTCTTTTCTTTTCTTTTCTTTTCTTTTCTTTTCTTTTCTTTTCTTTTCTTTTCTTTTCTTTTTTTTTCTTTTTTTTTTTTTTCTTTTCTTCTCTTTTCTTCTCTTCTTTTTTTTTCTCTTTTCTTTTCTTTTCTTTTCTTTTCTTTTCTTTTCTTTTCTTTTCTTTTCTTTTCTTTTCTTTTCTTTTCTTTTCTTTCTTTTCTTTTCTTTTCTTTCTTTTCTTTTCTTTTCTTTTCTTTTCTTTTCTTTTCTTTTCTTTTCTTTTCTTTTCTTTTCTTTCTTTTCTTTTCTTTTCTTCTCTTTTCTTCTCTTTTCTTTTCTTTTCTTTTCTTTCTTCTCTTCTCTTCTCTTCTCTTCTCTTCTCTTCTCTTCTCTTCTCTTCTCTTCTCTTCTCTTCTCTTCTCTTCTCTTCTCTTCTCTTCTCTTCTCTTTTCTCTTCTTTTCTCTTCTTTTCTCTTCTTTTCTCTTCTTTTCTTTCTTCTCTTCTCTTCTCTTCTCTTCTCTTCTCTTCTCTTCTCTTCTCTTCTTCTCTTCTCTTCTCTTTTCTTCTCTTCTCTTTTCTTCTCTTTTCTTCTCTTTTCTTCTCTTTTCTCTTCTTTTCTCTTCTTTTCTCTTCTTTTCTCTTCTTTTCTTTTCTTCTCTTTTTTTTTTTTTTTTTTTTTGTGTATGAGTGATGTTCTTCCATAATTTTTAGCTGTGTTTGTCTATACATCTGGGTGATAATGACTTAATTCACCAGTCATTCTGGAAGTAAAATTATCATGTTCTGTAAATATCCTTTTTATTATACCTGTTAGTCAAAAGATAGACTTGGTTTGGACTATTGCACTTATAAATAGGAAAATTTAACTAATAAGTGTTTAATTTGGTAGTACTGAGTTTAATCTTATTACTTCAAAAGCAATTAAAAAATCTAGATATTTCTCATTGTTTGCATAGTGGATAAACCAGAAAGATTCAGATTTCTAAAGTTATGCAAACAAATATGCTTTATCACATTTATTATGTTTGTGCTGCCCAATCATGCATGCACATTTGTTCAGGCCTTCTGAACACTCACAAATTACAAATCAAAGCGCTGTACCAGGACCCACAAACTGTGCGGACTAAGCACTTCAGTTCTTGCTTCTTTTCACAGCTGTCTACTCCAAAATAAGTTCATACAGGCAGGTTCAGAATATAGACACTTATCTCATGTTTTATTTTCTTTAGTCATTTTCCAGTTCTATATTTTCACCTGAGCTTTAAGTTATCACTGAAAAAAATATGCTTTTTAAAATGTATTATAACCTAGATTTGGATGGTTTGTTTGCTTGTCATCTTGATATGTATGGCAATAGCACTAACAACAGTGACTTCATCTTATCTGGTGTCAGTCATAAATACAGTGGGAAAATAATAGCTGCACATTTCTTTTACTTTTGGTTAAATAAGGTGGCTGTAAGAGCAGAGATTTATATGCAGTGTTATGTTATAAAGTTACAATGATGAAAAATAATGAATTTAGTGGTGTCAGTATTCTTTCAAATCTTAAAGACATTTAATTCCTTGCAATTATGCAAATGCAAACTTTTGTATGTTTATATCTTAATTATCAGAGTGTGTATAGTTTATCATAATTTACTAATGATGATCAGTTCTTGTGGACAGCAGAAAGGTATGGGCTGATCAATAAAGGGTTCTGCTAATTTGGTGAGTTTAAAACAGTAATTTAAGCTTCAATTGCTCATATTCTCTAGCAAATATGACAGATAACAGAAAGTCATATTCAGCAGATTTAGCTTTTATTTTTGATTCAGCATTTTAAATCTGTGAATGACTACACCATATCTTCCTAAAAATTCACTCATTTGTTCCAATTTATGACAATTAAGGAAAGGGCTTTATAGCTTACATTAACTGAAAGCTGCATTTGGATCCATAGTAACCTGCCTTGGCATTTTCAAGTTTCATAATTGTAGAGAATTTCTTTTGTGTTGAAGTGGTAAAACTGTATGATAATTCGTCATTGTTTGCACTGCTGTACTTAGAAACATTTCACTGCTGCCATTATAATCTTAGTATTTCTAAGGCTGTATAATTTATCCATGAAAATTTGCTTTGGGCTAAAACTTGGCATGCAAATTGTGTGTCCATTTTTAGATTACATGAGCTTCAAAAAAATTACAGCTGTTATACACTTTTTTATTTTTTTATTCTACTTGATAACTAAAAATTAGTCAAATCCTGACATTTAGAAAATGCAGTTGTGGCTCTGGGATCAAATCCCACGAAGGAATGTAACTGAAGCTCTATATTTGCTAGAAGACATGCATATGCAAGTGTACACCCATTATTAAATACAGTTCCAATTGGGTGAAAAATAGACTCAGTCCAAGCATGATGCTGCATGCAAATATGTCTGGTAAGTGTATAAACAATCCTCTGGCTATGTGAATACTTGAGTCTTCATTTGCAGCACTCTGTAATACTAGCTAAAGATTTTTAGTACTAGTGCTATAAAAGTACATAATAAAAAGAAATATCAGCAAGGTACTGGTGTTAAAAATCAGTTATGTCAGAGTTGCAACATTAGAAAACTCATTTCATACTGATGTTAAATCAACAACTTTCTAACACCACATTAGCTCGTATTTTATGTCAAATATTCTGTTTTTCTAGAAAATTTCACAATATTTTCGAAATCCATGTCACAATGAAGAAAGTGGAAAATAAAAAAGCATTTGAATAGTGAAATCAACCATTTGCTAAACTACTGCAGAAATTGCTGTACTCAGTTGCAGTGCTACCAATGCTGGACCACTCTGTGGCAAAGACTACAGCTACTTCAAGAGCAAAAGATAAGATTTACCTGATTAGATAATATCCTTCA